TCTTCTAGAAAATTTCAAACAACCTTATGATGAGTTTTTTAATTTTAAGATCACTTAAAAAAATATTTTAGAGGGTCCTAAAAAGGGTTTCTTATTTAAACCTTCTTGAAAAATATTTTAGAATTTACAATGGATATAAAGAAAAGTATAAGAGAGACCTAAAATATTCTTATACATATTAAAAGATTAGATATTTATGCAAAAATTCTAAAGACACCATAAATATATAACATTTGGGAATATTACCAGTTATGACTTTGCTACTTTTGTTTTTGGCTACAAAATGATTCATTGAATTGGATCAATCTGACCCATGCAAATCGATAATTACTCCAAAAAGAGACTAAAAGCTCTTATCTCTGTGAACAAATTGTTTTATTATAGTATGACTAAGAAGATACTTCTTTTTGATTTATTTTATTTAATACACTAATTAAACTATTAAGCAATATTGGTAATTTCAGTTTTTTTTTTTTGACCACATGAAAGCGGTTATTCCAGTAAATGATGCACTATAATATAATAATCGAAATGTTCTTTATAAGCTTGGGCTTGGCACACTAAGTTCATTGGGCTATTTTTCTTTTTTCTTAAGGCCGTGGTTGGTTTTGGGCTGGGCTAGGCCATCAAACACTAAATATCAAAATCCTTTAGAATGCTCAACCGCTCATGCAATCAAAATCCTATTGACAAATTAAATTTTGAGTTTACTAGTATTTTGGTTATAATTCGATCTCAAGTGCACATTTAAAATAAATTATANCCCCAGGTCCTGCAACTGGAGGAAAAAGAGGATCCGTTTTCTTGACTTCATGTTGAGTGTTCACATCCGCTTACAAACAAGTACGACCATTTTTTTATTTTTTGTACCTGCATTGCAGTGTAAGTAAGCTTGTGACAAAATTATTGTGATTGGAAGGGTACTATTTCTGTTATTCGCAGTCCTTGAAAAAATTGCAGTATGTTGAAATCATATAGGCGTTTAAGTCTAGTTCCCTTTTGGACCATTATTATGCCGAGTTATGTAGCACTAGGTGATATATGCTAATCCTGAAGTAGAAATTTAACTTAAATTGTTAAATATTATGTTATTGCAAAAGCACAAGGGTGTGGTAGATCCCCTTGAAGTTATTGCAGGAGAGATATATCATGAATCAATTAACGTATCCGGTAACCGGGGTGTTACATTTTTTTCTTCTCTCGAGAAATCTTTGCTTCAAGGGTGTGGCCTTTCATGAAGCTTAGCAGCTGGTAAGGGATATTACGTTATCTTCTAGTCAAGAACCATCACCTCCGAGCAAATTGACGGGTCTTAGGGCACTTAGGGCTTATGAGTTTTCGTTGAATTGTCA